TACATAAAATTATATATGAGGTGCAATGTGCATGTGATTTATATTATGATATATAATTTATAGCAATATATATTGCTATAGTGTACATTATGACATTTCTTTTAAGTGGACCACAGTTTCTATGCAGCAAAGCAGAGCAGACACTCCTTTGAGAAATGATAGCATTCAACTTTATCTATGCAAACTATTAAGTTAGCAGGCTGAACGTTCGTATTCCGAGACACTCACTCACTATATCTTCGAGGATCAGCACTTGATTTTACATTTTGATTTTCTGGTACAAAACTGCCTGGTCACTTCCACATTGCAGTAGAGGTTCGAGAGTGGATTTTCTTTAACTATGGAACTGCTCCATTCTTTTATAAGCATTAAGGCATTAAAGGATTGCAACCTGTAACGGGCCAAAATACACATGCAGGGAAGTTCCCTGGAATTATCACATGTGCTATTTCCAGTAATTCTGTCTTGAAAAGTAGGAAGTTCTTTCTTATCTCTATTAAGATACACACGATACGCATGAACATCCAGAAGACAGTTAAAGTTGCTACTCAAGAACATCTGCACTTGAATTCCACTTCCAGAGGCAGGTCTGGCCAGGAGGCTGCACACACCTGAATGGAAAGTGCTAGAGCAATGCAGAGAGAAGGCAAGCTCAAAAGCTCATGACGTACAACTAGTACAAGCATTTTGGGACCTCTATGTTTGCACTAATACAGGCACCGTGACTTGTCTGTTATGAAGTCAAAATATAAAAAAGGGAATCACCACCAAGACCACATCGAAAACACAGGAGACTACAGAAACTTCTTGATGTGGGAAGTCAAGATTTCAGTGTTTAAATATTTATACTTATTACTTAATTTATTATTAAATAGTGAAACAATTATCTATTGTTGTATCTATGCACATTTATTAGCAGCACGAGGTGATTCCATCAGATCCTCTTTTCCAATGAAAGATTCCTCCACCACCACTAGGAGATTTTCTTCATATGGACGGAAAAGAAACTCCGATCTTTCCAGGCTCACTTTTCATTACAGGGAGGAAAAAAGAACATGGGAAGCCTCATATGATTTTTGAAAGTGAGGAGACAATCCTCATCCTGTTCTTTAACAACCCCAGAGCAGTCCAAGTACAGCTAAATGTGTTTTCTTTACCCACCTGATCGGCTCAGAAAGCACACACAATGCAAATAACGTTAACATTAACGTTGAAAATGATGCCCAAATGGTTTTGGCTAGCTCTAGTTCAGGAAAAGAGAGTTCCCTAAGCAATATTATCTCCATTTTGTAGGGTTTGTAGGCTGTAGGGCAAAACCAGCCTTCTCAAGAGGAATGTCTATGGAGTATTTCATCAAAGCACTCATTTCGAGCCGCTCCATTGTTCCATTTCAGAGAAAATGATTTGCCATCTATAGAAGAATTCCTACAGAGGAATTTAATTCACAAGACATTTCTATTACCTATGGGATGAGAGAAACACAGGTCTCTCTTGGTAATGTGGCATATCTGGTTTTAGCTAGAGGTTTAAGTTGCAGTCACGTGAAAACCAAAGAACTAAATGCTCTGAGCATGAAGTTGGCTATTTTATTCTAGTTGAAATGCTGTTCCTTGCCCAACAAGTAAGCACTCACAAACATTGCCACATTTAAAGAACCCTGTGTCGTCTGCCTTTACCAAGTTTTCTGAAGGAGAGGAACATGCACTGAATTTTCCACTAAGTCTCACTCCATTTTCTCTGTCATCTTCTGTAGCAGACATAAATGGACCTATCTGAACAGACATAATTCAAGTAGGTGAGAGAAATGGCAAACCTGACATTGACGTGCAGTCCAGAGGATATGAAAAGCTTGTTGATGAAATTAAAGCAGTTGGAGGAAAACCGAGGCGTTTACTGAACGACTGCGAAGGATCACGACACAATCAGAAATGTCAGCTGAAGACATACCCATTGTATCCCTCAAAAAGGCCAAACGCCGAAGCCAAATAGATAGTGATGTTTTAAATCTTTTCTGCTATGGTATGCTTCCTTTCTTTGGACCATTAACCAACATATATCTCGGGTCTATGCTGAGTAAGCCTTTCCCATGTGGAAGAACTGAATCATATATTTCTTAATACCTTGTATCTACTCTCTAGTGAAAATTACAGGCAGCTGGGGAAAATCTGTTATAACTTGTTCTCCAAAGTTGTTTAAATCACTATTTATTTTATTGTGAAAAATCACTACAATTTCAAAAATGACCCAACTACCCACTTCCCTAACATTCCCCATCACCAAGTATTGCAATTGGTGGTTAAATGTTGTATTTTCAGAGATTAATATTTACTATCACTCCAGTGCCAAAATGAGAGGAGAAAGAGCCGAACAACCTCTGTAGTGACTAATTTAGTTAATGATATAGTCTTTTTATCTGTTAATGAATTACACAAAGTGTTCTAATTTTATAAATTAGTGCATTATTTGAAATGGCTCAGAAACCTCTTTGGGCAAAAGTACTTTAGCCTGAGAAGGTCTCCAAATTATTTCGTTTCCCTTTGCCTGTGGTTATATCTTCCATATAGCGCGTGAAAAATCATAAATTCCTATTATTTTGTTTTTATGTCCTGCATGAATTATTAAAGCCCTTCTAAAAACAGGGAGATAGCATTCCTTTAAACTTCAGGAGGAAAACCCAATGAATTTGAAGGTGGCAATGAAATAAGTGAAACAGACAAGTACACAAACGCAAAATTATTTCTGAGACTTCTGCTCTCTGCAAATATTTTCAGTAACGGATGTGACAATTTTAAAACAAGCTAATGCAATTTCTTTTGGCAAAGGTTGTCCTTGAAAGCCCATCCTTAGAAGTGAAATTCTTACGCTATACTCACTCACTGGCCTCATGGTGTTTGTGAAGGTAAAGGCTTCTCAAGCTAATTTTGAGAATTCAAAACCTGGCCATGTTTTTTTTATTTTTATACCCATTCAAAAGCTTCATTCACTGTGAAACATTTACACATCTCTCAGGGACTTCTACGCACAAGGGCCAGAACAGCATGAAACAAGTTTTAAAATATTCCAATCTGGCAGAAAAGAGGTTTTTTGGAGCACGGAGACTGAGGAATGTGGCTCTGGGCCGTTCTCCAAGACTGTGGCAGGATATGCCACCTACTCCTCTGGGCCCCGGAGGAGAGGAGTGAGGGTATGGTTACGGTACAGTTTATTGTTGAGGCACTAACACTGCTGAGACCTGCTGGGGGCTGGAAACAAGCTGCTCCCGTGTTTGCAAAAAGAGATTTTTGTGGAGACGGTGAAAGGGCGAGACGCAATCTGCCACGCCTTGCAGCATTCACACCTCAGTCCCACGACACGTGTCATGCAGTTGACACTCTTCATTCAAGCCAGGTTTGTTCTACCCTGTTTTCAAACCACCTTCTGTAAGAGCCATCTGTATTTTGCTGGTGGCTCCTTTGGCTCCAGGACAGTCCAGAACGGGGAGAATCTCAAACAGCCTAAGTCCAATTTAGCACGAGATCTATGCTATGTCATGTAGAAACACATGGTACAGAACATGTGTTCTTCTTCTCCACTCAAAAAAACCAGAAGCCCAGGAAGGCTACAAATTACTGTGTGAAGAAAAATTTGTATAGTGCAGCATGCTGAGGTGAACCTGAAGGCTTAGCAAAGCAGAAGCAAACTTTTCCTATGACTGTCACTAAAAGACACATTGTTCTTCATCTCTCCAGCCAACACCAACACCTGACACTTTTGGAAAGCTAGATCTTAAGTGTTAAGTAAGCAGACTCCTTTATTATTCTTAGCTCTAGGAAATGGAGTGCCTGTGAATCCAGACTATTGCCTGAACAACTTAATTAGCGTTTCTGACATTAGAATCTATCAGAGCTAACTTACACCTGGCTCCAAAAACAGAGAGAAAAGGGGAACATGTCCTAAATCTCCAGAAACAAATCCATCGATATTGTTTCCTAGCCCAATAAAGACATCGGGCCATTTAGAGACAACACACTTCTTTTTCAGTGAGTGATTATATCATCAGCCCTAAGGTATTTCAATTCCCGTGGAAAAGTGAAGGTATGACAACAGTCAGGATGGAACAGACCTGTTGAAATCTGAGAAATGCCATTCATTACTGATTAAAGTGACAGAAGAGTACAAGGTTTGTTTTTAAACTATTTCCTATAGTATTTTCTTTCCCATATTGTCTACTTCATGGTTATATGCCTAGTGACACAAAGTATAGAAAATCGTCCTTGTCTTACAGAAAGAAGCTACAAGCGAAAGCCTGACTTCTGGAAGCTGATGATGTTGTGGTGTATGAGTGCTATAAAAACATATTTTACCAAAAAGATCTTAGCTGGCTTCCAGTATGATAAAATACTTCGCTTTTATTGTAAAGCATTAATATTTCCAATTACCCATCCCCCCATCACAACATTTTGTACCTGCTGGGCCTGAATAACGACACCCTGTTACCAATTTTTTGTGATTAAAATTTTATGTAGTGATGCTAGTGGTATTAATTGTACCAGTATAAATTTTCTAAATTCTGCTTTCCCTTACAGCTGCGTCACCCAAATAAAATCATAGTGAAGCAATACAGTTCACTGAGACACACTGCCTCAACCTTTTGGAGCTGTGCTTTATTCATTTTACATCCTGGATTTTGACAGATGCAGGTTCTGTGCTCAGTGCTCGGCAGCTCCACTATGGTCTGTGTTTGGGGCAGCTCTGAACCTAGTTTGAGCCTGGAAAGCGGGCAAATGGGCAAGCAAAGAAGTGCTGTACCTCTGCCTTCTCCAGAAGAGGGGCAAAATGTGGATTTGGGGGGGCCAGTGCTGTCCCTCAGCCAGTTGTGCTCACCATCAAAACACCCGCTTGCTCATTTTCAAGTCTTTTGGCAAAAAAGTAGATCATGGCATAAAGGGAGCACTCATTGCTGAATCTAAACACAAAACCAGTGAATTGTCTGATATTTGTAGAGTAAAGAAATTTATTACCCTATGAGTTGATCTTTGTTTTGTTCCACAAGGGTGGGAGGAACATTAGAGACGATGACTTGCATATCCAACTGATTGACCACAGAGACCTGGAAACAAAAGAGTAAAATTCAATTGGCACTCCCATGCATAACATCCTCCTCCCCATACAAAAAGAATGGAATAATTACTTTCCTGCCTTCACAGCCATACCCTGATGTACGGATTTCTCATTTTAATTCCGAATAAGAGAGCTGGGAAATCTTGTTTTGCTTGGCAGCCAAAACCAATAAAGAGGAGGCAAAGATTTAACTAGAACTGTAATTGCAGGACTGCATCAGAATTATAGATTTTTAAGGTGGGGACTATGAAACCTGTTCTTCATAGTTTGGACTTTTCCTTACAGGATCTCTCACGTGCCACATTCAAAATCACTTATGAGCATTTTGGTATTTTTGATGGCTTGACAGGAAAATCCAACCTTGGAAATATGCAGTTTGCACCAATGTAAATGCAAATACCAGATTAACTCAACTAAATCAATGATACTTTGTTAGAAAATCACAAAGGAAATTGTTCATCTATGTTGAAGTCATCAGTGTAAGTTATTTTAATCTCTAATTTTTTTTCGCTTCTCCCTCTATATGGCATAAAACTGTGCATAACCATGTGTATTTTAGAATTGCACTTCTATTTGAAAAGACAGGACAGAAAAAAATGCCTCTCTAATACACTCAATACTCATGTTATTTGTTTTTTAAAAAAAAAAAAAAATCTAGGATTCCACGAAAGAACCGACTGACCTCAGAACAAATGTCTCACATTAGCATTTTTTCCCACAAAAGCAACGTAACTCTTCTGTTTGTCAATGGTAGGTTGGACGGTCAGGGTGCAGAAGGGACTACACGCATGCATGAAATTCAACAGATTTGGCAAACTCTGCTTCACATCTCCTGATCTAGTCTCCTCAAGCTATTTTTATCCCAAGAAAAGGCTGCCTTCCAGTAAAATGATTGCATGCTTTTTCCTCTCTTTTAAATATTTTTGCATTTTGTAATAGCTCTCTCTTCACTAGCACAGCCAACCTCCCCTTAGGTTGTGAAAGGAACAGTTACTTCCCATACTGGTGGAGAAAATAAAACATTTCTTAAAACTTGGCTCATGTCCGTATAGGCATGACAGCAAACATTATACTCCAAACCACCTCCCTGTAGAGGATTCTGGAGGTAAATTTGGAAAAGTAGGACAATGTTAAACCTGATAAATTTAAAAATCAGAGTTAGCCGATTCAATTCTAAAAGAAAAAACAATCCCTGTTTTTCAAAAGAGAAGTCTGAGCCCTGTAAGCACTTCAACAGACAAGCCATAATATACGTTCACATCAAACACTGATTCACCAGCTTTGAAGCTTAATTCAACTTTCAATATTTAAATGTTCTTGAAATGTCATCAGATGTACTGAGCAGCATGTACAGACTTCTGTGTAAGAAAAACAGAATTACAATGAACTTAAAATAAATTTTAGACTAAAATCATTGAAAGGAACTCTAAAGCAATGAACAGTTTAATAGAATTCACTACATCAGCCAAGTCAAGCGATCATTGTGCACCTATGTACCGAATACTGCATAAATGCAACACTTAAAAAAAGGCAATAGTTCTTTTGATATTCAAGGAATCACAATTACGACTACTTGTTCATATACAAAAATATGAATAAACACACATTCATGACAAGCTATAGTAAAACAACGGTGTTGAACAAAAATCAAGAAAAAGTTAAGGTTTCCATAGTAGCATTAACTTACTTGCTATCCTCATTTGTAAAGGCTTTCATTTTTCAATTATTAAAAATAGCAGTGAGTTGAGGAACTAAGTCCAATTTAACTACATTGTAAGAAAAGCTGTGGGGAGAAACTGTTCCCTTCCACTTGAGGAGTGACGGAAACATGCTGGCAGCAGAGGTGGAAGGTGTCCCCTCTTTTTGCGGCACAGTTACCAGGATCATCCGACCCACTGTTCCTTAGAAAGCTTTTGCTACTTCCAGTCTACCGAGCAAAAATACAGCCAGGTCCTGCGATGCTAAGTAGCAGGCACCAGCCTAAATTATAAGGCTGGAAGTCAGCATGTTCAGATGCCTCATGTCCTTAAGTACCTGAAGAATACATTGCTGAGAACTAGGAAAGTTCTAGGTTAAATTAAATAAGTGGCACAACAAAGTGGAAGCTTGCAGCAGAGGCAGGGAAGGCATGTAATTGTTGATAACCACTAGCCCGTAAGTGATATCCCTTTGATCCCATGCTTCATTCACTAGGCACTTTCCAACTTTTAAATCAAGCAAGGCAGAGCCTACAAACAGTCTTGATCGTTATACGGCACCAATGGATTCCTGGGAGTAGCTTATGCTGAGAGCTGAACGAGGAAGGGGCCTTGGGACCCCGCCAGACCCCAACAAACATTTGATTAAAGACGGTATCATAGTGAATATTCACACTATCCACACTTACTTACTACCTTTAAGTGCTTACCTGCAGCAAACTTATTTTAAAATATAATGTCTTATTTCTTTCTTTTGTCTCAGAGAGGCTAAAAAGGGAAATTCCGTCACATGGAACCAAACTGTAGATCCACAGATGTCTAACTTGAGCCATCCTGCCAGTCCCAGCCAGCAGGAACAGACATGGACCGTCCCCTACAGCATGAAGACATTTTACCAGTGGGTTTGGCAGCTTATGCAGCTCACAGAGCTGTGCCAGGGCTCCGAGGAAGCGCCCTGGCCCCAGTTCTGGAGGATACCTTGCTCTTGCTCAGGTGCTTTGCAGTACTGTCCCCCTGGTGTCACCCCACCTCTTCTCTCCAGGCCTCCTCCCAGTGCAATCCTTTCTTCTTCCCCCACATCTTATTCTTTTGCACATAATTAAATCCATTTCCCTTACCTATGTGCACTCCTTGAGCTTGTACTGAAAGGAATGAACACCTCCCAGCCTGAGCACCTGACGCCACAGTGACAGCAGGCTAAATTCTGTCCAAATCATGAAGCCCAGGAACAGCTTAATCTAGTTAGAAAGGATCTTCACGTGTGGATCATGCTCAGCGCAAACCCAAACTTTCACGGTGGGATGGTGTCAGTCTCTAATTGTATCTACAGCTACTCTAAGCTTTCATGCCTTGCTCAAAAACACTGTACCAGAGTGCCCATCACTCACTCAGACAACCTAAAGATACCTCTATAAATTAATGAGACATACTTCACTTTCTAATTTTAATGTCGATACCTTCTGGCTATATTTTAATATACTATTACTGCATAAATTGCATGAGAATGCCCCATCATTTTTGGGAGGTCAAGCATGAGGACATCATACATTATGTTTATTTGCTGAATTCCTGCATAACGCAATATACCAAGTATTATGGCTATCATCTGTATCATTTGACAGTGTTCCCATGAACTAGATAATGCACTTCATCCCTACGACATTATGCTAATATTAATCCAATCCATCAAGTTATATAGGCTTTAAAGAAATTTAGCTTTGATGGTTTCTGGGAGTGGACTAAGTCAATGTCCTTTACTCAGCACAAAAACATGAGCTCAAGGCCTAAAGCTGGTGCCGTTTCTGAAACGTTGCTTCCCTGAAAAGTTGAAGTACAGTCTGAGCCCAAAATTATTCCTCGCATCTCCCTTCCAGACATGAGCAATTAAGACATGGCAACCTTGGCTTTCCCAAGTAAGTCAACTGACTTGTAGCTTTCAGAGGCTGTTTGCTCAGATATTTGCCTGCACTGCAAGCCAGATACACCAGATCTTACTCCAACCCAGAAGCTATGTACTCATGTTAACACAGTACAGACCAAGTTAGCAAGCTTTCAGCTTGGCTTAACTGGGGTTTAATACCATGCTACGCCTGCTTCACAGCTTTGACACAGGAGCTGGCTGCACCTTGCTGGCTTAGAGAATAGGTGGAGATGATCTGTAAATGCTTGTGTCCAACCATGCAATGTGACCTGCTTTATACTCGTAGTGCACAAAACCAGCACTTTTTTTTGCTGCCATCTGGGTCCAGAAGACCCAGCACATAACTTAGGTCCATGTTTATTGCAAACAATTAGAATCTAAATTGAACCATTAACAATGGCTCATTGAATAAATAAAATACTGAACATCATGTCTAGGGTGGTAACCGGGATCAGTATCTCTGCCACGAAACATGAACACACGTTTCAGATGGTCATAAAAGCTTTTGGTTTAAAAAAAAAAAAAGCTTTACTTCAGTGACTTAAAAAGATGAAGTACACACAGTTTATGGCCTTCCTATAGGTCTGCCTGGAATTAAACTTTACGTAGTATTTGAATTTCCTCAGGAATTATTCCATAAAGATAATGCCTGCCTCATACTTACAAGTACTTCTGCTTTGCTGCTCAGTCCTTTTCCATAATTGTCAGTTGCAATGACCTGAAACTTGAAATAGGATCTTCTCATATTTTTGAACAGCATAGCAGTTTTTATTAGCCCTGTATAAGCTTCAATCACAAAACCTTCTTTACCATCCTTGATTGGAGGAATGATGAGTCTGTATTGCATGGCACTGTAATTCCCAGTGTCTTTATCATCAGCCTAATAGGAAAGAGAAAACAAGAAAGAGGCAAATAAAGTAAATATGCATGCAAAGAATCATTAACCTTGTCCTTTAAATAAAGTTGCATATTGGTCCAGCAAATTTCTTCCACTCTGACGTTTAAAACATCAGATCCCAGAAAGCAGATACCGCTATTACTTTAAATGGTTCATTTAACTTTGCTGCATACAGTTTTGCTTTTCCAGCAAGTTCCTTCTCCTGTGTTGGCACTAAACTGCTCCAAAAAAAAAAAAAAAAGAAGAAAGAAAAAAAGAAGAAAAATATAAATGGACTTTTCAAGTCTGCAACAAACTGAACAGGTAAGAACAGTTTAATTCTGAGAAACCTCCACTGCCCAATTCTTGTTGACAAATATTAAATATCAAAGAAAAAACCCCCAGCAACGTATTCACAAACTTACACAACAAGAATGTCCTCCCTCTTCTTAGAGCCATTCTGCACCCGCATTGATTAAGCACATGTATTTTTGGAGTAATTTTATCCTTTTTTATTTACAAAAAAAAAAAAAGGATTGAG